GGGCCCCGGGCCCCCGCACCAGCGTGGGGGCCCCGGCCTCGGCCCGCGGGGCGTTCAGGGACGAGCAGCACCTTCCGAAGGAGCACCCGGGAGCCGGGCCGCAGCCGGAGAGGTGGGAGCCGGCGCTCCGGCCGTGAGACTCACCTGCACAATAACCTCCCGCCCCCCTAACACCGAATTCTTCCTCTCCCAGCGAAGAGAAAGAGAGAGGATGGAAGAAAGGAGGGACCTGGTGGCACCAGAGGACAGGTGGTCCCAGACACGTGGGGAACGTGGAGCAAAATGTGCCTGTGTGGTGGGAACGTGCTTCGAATCTTTTGAAACCTGTGCTGCTTCTCGTGCCCTGGGCCAGGTCCCTGCAGCAGGACCAGGGCTGAGCCTGCAGCATCTCCAGATGTGCCCTTAGAGAGTCACCGCTGCTCGTCCTGGGCAGTAGCACTGCTGTCCCGAGGCCAGCGTGATGGCAGCGGTGGCTTTGAGTCACCACCCTGGAGCCGTGGGCTATCCCTCCACAAGAACACCCCGGCCACTCGCTTTCTGCACTGCTAAAATTGGCTCTGGGGGTTTTTGTCAGGGCTGAGTCCCCGCGCTGGGCCAACCATACCCGCGACGTCCTGGCCGGAGCACCCCATCCTTGTGCCCTTGTGTGGGGACGTGGAGGGACGCCGGGCTGCCTTGTGCAACCCAATGTAGCGGGGGTGGAGCTGGTGTCTGCGTAAGCACTGAAACACGTGCTCCCTCCTGCGGAAGGGTTTCCGTGAGCAGGCTGCAGGAGGGCTGAGGCCGGCCGCTGGGGCAAGGGGCAGGGTGGGAAGCGTGGCCACCGCATCCGGTGTGGGTTTTTGGTTATTCTGGGCCCACTGAGTAATGGCAGCCCTGCCGCTTCCCCTGACGCTTCCCTAAGTCAGCAAGAGCCACCACGGCGCTGCACCCGCGCCGGCACGGCCCAGGCAAAGGCTCGGTGCTCTCTTGCGGGAGGGCAACTGGAGCCCCCCCGAGCAGTGTGCTGCACCCTGGCACGGGCGCAGGTGTGTGCACAAAAGGAAGGGGGAAAAAGGGCCCCGCTTCGAGCTCTCTCGCTCAGTCCTTCCTTCCCCGCTGCTCATGGACAGGTCCTTCCCAGGTAACAGCTTCAGCCGCGTGGAGGGAGAGCTGCAGCAGAAGGAGGAGGATTTGACCTGGCCATGAAGAAACACTTTCTGTTGAATCCCACCCCCACGCACCCAACTGCGGCATTAATATTTCTGGAAGGGGAAATGCCTGTTGCAGATCCAGCAACAGATGCTCTGGGAGCCACCCCTGGGCACAGTCTCCATCCCAGGCCCAGAGCAACAGGAGGAGGTGGATGCAGGGAGACAGCAAGACGAGCACAGAAACTGAAGCTTTTGGAAGGATGCGGGGAAGCATTCAGGGCCAGGGAGGGAGCCTGGGGCTGCAGCCAGGTGGCACCCACAGTGTGGCACAGGGAGGTGGGAGCAGAGCAAGGGGCTGCCAGCACGAGGGCTGCATCCCGGCGGGCTGGGGAAGACCAGCAGCACACAGCTTACATTGAACCTCCTGCTCATGCCAGGTGGTTAAAGTGGCTTGGGGTTTTCTTTCCCCGTAGTTACCACTAGTTTTCAAGCACTTCCAGGTCTCACCTCCAGCATGGCTTCATGCCCAGGCAGCCGAGCAGTTTGCCAGGGGTAAGGCACCTACGTGACCCTTTGACTCTGGTGCTCAGCACGTTAAGAACAAGCCCCTGTAGCAGCCTCACGTTAAACTGGAGAGCATGACCCACTGAGGCACTGCAAACCGAGGCCGTTGCACCCAGAACGAAGCCGCTTGTTGGTCGGGGGCCAGGCACAGCTGCCACAGCGGCAGCATTTTTGCACAGCACAGCTCAGCCCACGCCTGGGCTGCGGGGCAGAGCTTGCCTCGGGAGGCCAGGCCTAGAGGCTGGTCTCAGACGCCGTCCATGGGCAGGCGTTACTGTGCTTGCCAGCACCCGGCCACTGGCATCAGAGCTCTCCCGTTTTCCCAGCGATGGTGACCTGCATGTCCCTGGGCTCTACCCTCATCTTGAGCTTGCAACACCCAAGTGCCTGCAGGGGCATCACCCTTTCAGCCTGGGGCGGAGGGAAAACCCACAACAGCCAGGAAAGGAAGGCGGTGGGCGAAGGGTGTTGCCCACCCTCATCAGCTGAGGCTGACAGAGCCCGGGGCCATCATGGGCAGGAAGGACGTGCAAGACCAGCAGTCTTGCGGGGTCCAGCTCAGAGATGAGCTTTGCAGAGGAAACAGGAGCACCGTCACCAACCACAAAAACCAGGATCAGCTCCAAACCATTAAGTCTGTGGGGCAGAGCCCGGAGCTAGAGCGAGTGCATGGCGCATGGCAGGGCGGCTGCATGGCCC